TTCCTGAGGTGCTATTAAAGACATTATAGCAGGGTATTTGGAAAAATTCACAGCAATCAGACAGAATCAATATGATTTTGTGAAAGGGAAATCACATTTAAACAATTTATTGACATTCTGCGAAGTACATGTGCTGTGGGGAAAAGAACAACAGAATGACAGTGTACTAGATTTCCAGAAAGCATTTGATGAGGTGCCAGATGAATAATTATTATGGAAAATAAAGACTCACGGTGAAGAAGTCAGACAGGCTAAGCTTGTATCTGTTCAAGTTCAGAAGTCTAAGAGACACTTTGATTGAAACAAAGATCCTGTGAGAACTTGATTGAATGAATGTAGAAAGGCTGTTTTCTCTTGTGGGAGAATCAAGAACTGGGGTCAATATTAAAAATAAGGGATTGCCCATTTAAGAGAGAATTGGAGAATTGGAGAATTTTTTTTTCCCTGAGGAATAGCAGTCTTAATTGGAACTTTCTTCCAAAAAAAAATGTGGTGGAAGGCAGAGGCAGATAGATCAATGGCAAGCAATGGGGCAAAGGTCCATCAGCGTAGGCAGGAATCTGGATTTGAAATTACACAGTCAGGTCAGCCGTGATCTAATGGAATGTTGAAGCAGGCTGGATGAGTCCTGCTCCTAATTTGTGTGCATGCATGTTATTGCAATTAATGCCAGAACAAATTCCTGTTAAATTAATTGGAATGGATGGCTTATTTTTATTTGGATCACCTCCCCATAGGAGTCCCTGGCCACATGTATTCTTTAGGGATTGACTGCGTTTAGCTAGTGGCTTCTGGCTTTGAATATAATAATTAATGAAGTAATATGGACAAATGGCTCTTCAAACAGAGCTGAAAGGCAACTTTGACACATTCAGGAGGTGGAGAATTCAGAAAGGCATGGAGCAGGAATTGTGATTAACCTAAACAAGATGATCTGCAGATTTTGTGCAGATAAGTTCATGGTGCTTAATAGAAAAACTGTCAGGTTGTATTGATTGATAATTAGCCAATCCATTCATCACCATTTCACTGTATACTCTATCAGTGAAATAAAGCAGCTTAACTGTAGATGCGGAGCACATATGCAAATAAGGAACTAGGGTAGGCCACTTGGCCAATGGGAAAATGTTAGGATTCAATTATAAAGGATGTAATAGCACGGCATTTCAACAGACATAATGTAATCAAGCAGAGTCAGCATGGCTTCATGAAGGGGAAATTGTATCTGACAAATTAAATAGATTTTTTTGGTGTGTTAACAAGAAGGATAGATACAGAGGAACCAGTTGTTGTAGTTTATTTGGATTTCCAAAAGGCATTTGATAAGGTATCACAGAGGCTTCTTAATAACATAAGAACCCATGGTATTGGGAGCAGTACATTAGCATATAGAGGGTTGGCTAACAAATAGAAGACTGAGTTGGTATAATAGGGGACATTTTCAGGATGCTGACCTGTTACTAGTGGAGTGCCACAGTGATCAGTGCTGCAGCTATAATCACTTACAATATTCATTAAATTACTTGGATGAGGGCAGTGAATGTACTATTGCTTCACACCAACAGCAAAAACAAAAGTTGCTGGAAAAGCTCAGCAGGTCTGGCAGCATCTATGAAGAAAAAAAAAAATCAGAGCTAACGTTTCGGGTCCATTGACTATTCCTCATAACAGTCCTGAGGAAGGGTCACCGGACCCAAAACATTAACTCTGGATTTTTTTCTTCACAGATGCTGCCAGACCTGCTAAGCTTTTCCAGCAACTTCTGTTTTTGTTCCTAATTTACAGCATCCGCAGTTCTTTCGGCACTATTGCTTAAGTTTGCAGATGATAAAAAGATGTGGGAAGGCAAGAAGTGAGGCTGACGAAGAGGCTACAGAGGGATACACATAGGTTAAGAAAGTGGGCAAAAGTTTGGCAGAGTGAATATAATCTGGGAAAATGTGGGTTTCTGCACTTTGGCAGGAAGAATAGAAAAGTAAATATTAGTTAAATGGGGAAAGACTGAAAAAAAACTGCAGCACAGATGGATTTGAGTCCTCATCCATGGGTCACAAAAAGCTAGCATCCAAGAACAATGGATTACAGAGAAAGCAAATAGACTTTTGGTTTTTATTTCAAAAGAGAATGGAGTATAAAAATAGGGAGATCTTGCCAAACCTCACAAGGGGATACTGGGAACAGTTTTGGGCCCCTTATCTAAGAAAAGATATACTGGTGGAGGCAATCCAGAGAAGGTTCACCAGGGTGATCCTGGGTATGGAGGTGTTTTCTTATGAAGAGAGGTTGAGCTTGTACTCATTGGTGTTTAGAAGAATGAGGAGACCTTCTCAAACACAAGATTGTGACATGACTTGACAGGTAGATGCAAAGAGAGGTTTTTTCCTCTTTGTAGGACAGTGTATGACCAGAATTTCAGACTAAGGGGTCATGATTGAAGACAAAGACGATATGAAATTTCTTCAGAGGTTATTGAATGCATGAAATTCTTTACTGTAGAGAACTTACAAGGCTGGGTCATTAAATATATTCAAGGCTGAGACAGACAGATTTTTAAATCAGTAAGGGAGCCAAAAGTTATGAGAAACTTGCACTTCAATAAAATCACCTCATTCTCCTAAACTCTAATAGACATAGGTTGAACAGTTTAGGCCTTTTATAAGATATGCCCTTCATCCGAGGAAGGTGTAGCGTGAACCTTTTCTGAAATTAATCTAAAGTACATTTTCCAAAAAAAAGATTAAAACTGGGTGGATGCGTGGATAATCTTCAGTCATGAGGAAAATATAGATCGGCTGTGATTTTTTGCTCAGTTAAAATAGATTGCATAATAACAACATGTAGCCTCAGAAACCAAGAATGCCTATGAGTGAAATGCCAAAGCATTGTGGAATATTATCTCAGCATTGAGGTCATCATTTTAAAGAAAGGAGGAGGTGGTATCAAAGGAGAGAGAGAAAAAAAAGACTGGGGCAAAAAACAAGCTAAGTCAATTGAAAACTCAAAACCTGTAATAAGAGAAATACTGAGGAGGAGGAGAGGTAGTCAAAGAAATCAAAAAGACGACTAAACAATGACTAGTTTGGGTTTTAAATAGCTACAGATAATTACAAAGTGAGGGCAAGTAGTGAAGATTTCTACAGTGTTGAGGCGTTGGAAATAAATGAGCCATTTCAGGACTTGGTGTTCCATGCAATAGATGAAAAAACTTCTTCACTAACTATCAGTTAAATGATACAAAGTTAAATCAAGAAAGGTTCTTTTACTCTTGATTAAATTAATCAATCAATCTATCGTTCACCTGATACCAACAAATGTGGATTGCTGGAAAAGTGGGTTAATTAATGCATTAAACTCGATGCTTTTTTTTGTCATAATTTTTAGTTAAACTATTTATGGGAACAGGAAGACAGTGACATCCTGTACTATCTTTGTTTTATAAATCATAAAGCAGAGTATGAATTTTTCACTCCTTGACTGAATAAGCTCGTCAAGCCTTTTTTTTGCATTTCCACTACACAAAGATTGTTTTTCTGGTGAGAGATCAAAAGCGTTCTACCTAGCTGCAGAAAAGGACTTCATTTAGTGGACATTTTTCAACAGATAAAATGCATCAGATACAATATACTTAAATTTCACACTTGTGTCAGAGGAAAGGAGTTGGGTAAGTACTCAAATAATTGTATCGGAAGTGTTCAGAGAAGTGTTAATCGGAAGGGTTAATGGTCTCAATGTGAACTTTACGAGCTTCAAAATCTCCCCACCTCCAACTACATCCTAAGACCACACCCCCATCCCTGTCTCCTTGACCTATCTGTCTTCTCTCCCACCTATCCGCTCCTCCCACCTCACTGACCAATCCCCATCCCCACTTGCTACCTACACTCACCTTTACTAGCTTCATCCCCACCTCCTTGACCTGTCCGTCTTCTCTCCCACCTATCTGCTCCACTATCCACCTGCTAACACCGCCCCCACCCCCTCTATTTATTTCAGAGCCCGCTTCCCTCCCCCATTTCTGAAGAAGGGTCCCAACCCGAAACGTCAGCTTTCCTGCTCCTCTGAAGCTGCCTGGCCTGCTGTGTTCCTCCAGTTCCACAACTTGTTATCTCAGACTCCAGCACCAACAGTTCCTACTATCCCTAAGAAAGAAAACTGTCATGCTTTTTTTTTTTAAGGTCAGGTGAGCAGGGAAGAAAAGTGTCAGCTATTTGAGAAAATTATTAGGCTATCGCCCTATTCTTCAATAATAGGAAGCGCGACTGACTTTCCACAGTTGATATGTGAGAGAGGTACAAGAAAGACTTGGATTTGTGTAGCACCTTTCTTACCTCAGGATGTCTCAGAGCACTTCGCAGTCTATAAACTACAAAACTTTTGAAGTGTAGTCACTCTTGTACCGTAGGAAGCACGGAAGATAATTTGCACATTAAGCTCCCACAAACAACAATATTTTATCTGTCTGAAGGATAAATATTGGCTTGGACAGAAAGGAGAATACTAGTATTACAGAAGCTACTGTCATCCACTTGAGCGAGAAGGGAACCTTGGTTCAATATCTCAAATGAATAATCGCACCTCTCACACGCAGCACTTCTCCAGTATTACACAAAGTGCTGTCAGACCATGTGCCCAAGTCTCTGGATTGAGACTTGAAACAAACAAACATTCTGATTCAGACTGGAAGTCAAGACTGACAAATCAACATTGTGAAAACCAAAACATATGTTCTTAATACAACAAATATATTATAGCTCTTTTAAAGATTTAAGAGTTGTTTCTCATTTAACCACTATTAGCAGATACCAACACAAGGATAAGGTGCAGTCTACTTACGATTTCAGACGTAATCCATTCTTTAACCTTCTGCCAGCATTGATACAATCAGAAGAATTCTAGTGTAAAAGGGGAATGCAAACATTAAATGATATATATGGACCACCTGTTGAAACCTGTGTTCCAATCTGTGATGTAACATTGCAATGTTGTCAGTTTGTCACAATAGTCCTCTTACATGAATTTTTAACCTCATACTCCCTGAACAGAATACTCTTTTATATAAATCACAACTGCTTGTCAGCACTAAATTAAAAGCTGTTCAAAAGCAAACTTTAAATAAGGCATTAGACATTTGATGAACAAAGCTTCTGTTACTTAAAGAATGACATATGAAGAACCTAAATCAGTTGTTTCATTCTGAAAAAATGAATCCTAGTCAATCATGTGTGCAGCTTTAACACTATTTCCATGGTAAGCATAGATATGCTTAAACAACTGCACTACCCATGTTATGTACATCCAATAGCAATTTAAAAATCTACTCTGGTCCTATAATCATGATCCCACACAGATTTGCTTCAGTATACATTTCTGATTCAAGCATCAGCCAGCCAGTTCCTTCTGCTGTGTGTATGGGAAAACTGACTATCATGCTGAAGATGCAACTATATACTTAGAAATTTGTCTGCAAAATCTGGGCCACATCAAGATGTGTGATGGGAACCAAAATACCACATCTCTTTTAGCATTTCGATTTGTTTTGTAACTTGGGTTTTCTATTTTATAGATTTCCTTGTGCAATATTCCAATTTCTGAAAATTGGATGAAAAAACTTATTTGGTGTGTTTGAGATCCAAGTAGCCTTTAAATTATATTGTACATTGTTGCAAATTTTACTTCAGAATTTTGTTTTGGGTGCTACAAATACTTCTGGATAAGCTACATAAAGATGGATGGATTAATGGCCTGAAAATTCCTTGTTAATTTTAAATACTTGTACATAAGAAAAGAAAATAGCTGAAGAGAGCAACAAGTTAGAAGTTAAGCCATTTGAAAATAGTACTTTCCCACTCATGCTTAATTATCTGTGGGCAAACCAGGTCTTACACATGGATGAAATAAATATAGCAGGAAGGAGGAAATAGGAGAATACAAAGAAACTATGACAATTGATCACTTGTTAATTCAGAGGCTTTCCCCAAAATGGTAAGTTGACAAACATTATTCCCATCACATTTTTACCATAGTAAAACATCCCAATTTCACCACAATATCTGACACAGAACATAAATCAAAGTTTTGGAAAAGTGTGACCAAAGGTACAGTCAAATAGAAAGGTTTTGAAAACAGGTTCTAAGATAGGAAATCAGGTATTTGGATATAAAGGGTGTACTGCTGAATACAGTAACGTGGGTGAAGGTTCTGCCAAATTTGGCAGCCAGGATTGGAAAATGGGAAGGTACCTGAAATTAATAAACAGGGGTCTCAGAGCATGGCACAGGCTGAAAACATCCGAGGTAATGGTAAGTTGGGTCAAAGCCACAAAGGGGTGATACAGACATGACAATTGAGGAGGAGAAATATGAAATGTTAGATAAACATCTTTAAAAGTGGATAAATCTCCATGCCTGAATAAAACATTGGATAAACTGTTAAGGGAAGCAAAAGAAGAAATAGTGAAGGTTTCCTATAACTTTCCAACCTTCCCTGGTGACAGCCTGGTTCTGGTTGACCACTGAAGTTGTACAAAGAGGGTGATAGGGATAAATCAATTATAGGGTCAGGCAGCCTAAATTCAGTGGCAAGAACATGATTGGAATAATGTCTGTTGGGATGGGATAAAGTCAGAAACTGATCCATTTTGTTGAGCATGTAGCGATATGCAACAAGCAGATCAATGAAAGCATTTGCTGTAGTAGTCTACATAGTTCACCAATGAATTTAAGGTAACATATGGCAGACTAGTCACGAGAGGAAAAGTCCAAGGGATCCCAAGACATAGCAGCAAATTGGATTCAAAATTGGCCCAGAGGCAGGAAGCAAAGTGTAATGGTTCTGAGGAAGGGATGCTCGACCCGAAATGTTAACTCTGATTTCTCTCCACAGATGCTGCCGGACCTGCTGAGTTTTCCCAAGAATTTATGTTTTTGTTTCTGATTTTTGGAATCTGCAATTCTTTCGGTTTTTATAAAATGTAATGGTTGATAAATGTGTGAGACTGAAAATTAAATATTTTTAACATTTATTAAATATTCAAACGTTAAGGCAGAGGTAGATTGATTATTGGGGATTTGCAGGAAAAGTAGAGTTCAGGTTAAAATCAGATCAGCCATGATCTTATCAAATGGCAGAGCAGGCTCAAATGAGCAGGTGGCCTACTCTTTGTTCCTTATTTGCATGTTCATAAGTCTGTTTCCACTAGGGTTCCATAGTGGAAAAGTGGTTATATTTTACTTCGTTGAGGGGTCTATAACCAGGGGCAAAAAATTAGGGCAAGTAGTAGCAGGTTTCAAGTAAATTCATGTAGCATGGTTCTGGAACTCTGAAAGATTGGTTGGGGCAAGAAGAATCAGAACGTTTAAAAATGTATTTTTAGTGAACTAAAGTCACCCAAGGAAAGAAATTAGCCACCTTTAGCATACACGTGACTCCAAACTCACAGGATGATAGTTGATTCTCAACTAACCTCTGGGCAACTAGGTCGAAGTTATAAATAAAAACCAAAAGAACTATGGATGCTGTAAATCAGGAACAAAAACAAAGTTACTGGAAAAGCTCAGCAGGTCTGGCAGCATCTGTGAAGGAAAAAATAGAGTTAACGTCTCGGGTCCGTTCTGAGGAAGGGTCACCGGACCAGAAACGTTAACTCTATTTTTTCCTTCACAGATGCTGCCAGACCTGCTGCGCTTTTCCAGCAACTTTGTAGAAGCAATAAGTGTTGGCCTAGACATCAATATCCACATCCTGTGAATGAATTAAAAAAAAATACACTTGAAGTGCGTCAATTTACAGTCAAAGGAGATAGAAAGTGGGATTAGGCTGGATGACTCCTTTGCTGGCCTGTTTGATTAGAAATGGGCTCCTTTCATGCTGTCAAGTTGTATGATTCCATGAAGTAATATATTGAAATTGCTGCATTGGAATAGGTGCCAAAAGCATGTTGGCAAGAACTGGGGGAAAAAAAAAAGCAATATTTATAAGACAGGATGTTGATAAGGGATTTTGCACGAGTTGGAGTTAATTAAGATCAGAGCTTCTGTGGACAAGGTCAAAAATCACAACACCAGATTATAGTCCATCAGGTTTATTTGAAAACAAGCTTTTTCAGCCTCGCTCCTTCTTCAGGTGTTAGTAATAGAGATGGCAATAGGCACAGAGTTTATAAGTACAAGATCAAAGAATCATAGAACTGATGCGAATGTATCAAACAAACCTAAAATGGCTATTAAATCTTTAATTAGTCAGAAAGGAGATCAAGGTTTTGAATGATTAACATGCAAGTCTCAGAATTTCTTTCAAGTCACTGCCCCGAGATAACTAAAGGTTTTATCAGTATACTGGAGGTGACATCTCGGGTCAGACAATGCATTTAAGGTGTGAGGCCTTGTTTAGAATCTGCGTTTTTAACTTGGAGTCAGACTGGTTTTATATCCAGAGTAGGAACGTTGGAAATACCACTGACTGATATCTCCAAATTGTGTGCTTTTTAAACAAAATAGAAGGTACCTGCAATTACAAACTCACCCCATAGATTTGAGAGGGAGACGGGGAGGAGGGGGAGAGTTCACACCAGTGCATTTGCATGCATATGCACACTCACGCTCTCTCTTGCTCACCTCCACACACATGCGCACACGCACGCACTCTCTCCTGTGTGAGATTTTTGACCTTGTCCACCCCAGTCCAACACTAGCACCTCCATATCACAGCTTCTCTGGACAGCAAGGACAGTGTTAAGAAATCATTTATGGCCATGACAAAGAAGTAGTGTTGATTGGAGCAAAAACCAAGTTGCTGGAAAAGTTCAACAGGTCTGGCAGCATCCGTGAAGAAAAAAAAAAATCAGAGTTAATGTTTCTGGTCCAGTGACCCTTCCGCAGAACCTCCTTGTGTGTGGGGTAGGAGGCTGGGACATGGGAGAGTTTAGGCCCTCAAGCTTCTGAGAAAGGGTCACTGGACCCAAAATGTTAATGGTTTTTTTCCTTCACAGATGCTGCCAGACCTGCTGAGCTTTTCCAGCAACTTTGTTTTTGTTCCGGATTTACAGCATCTGCAGTTCTTTTGGTTTTTATTTAATGTCGATTGGAATCGCAACCGCAGCAAGAGCAAGGTAGGGAATAAAGATGGGGAATGTTAGAAGGGTGGACTGAAGCAGATTTGGTGGTGGCTAGAACATGAAACTGGAACTTCCACTCTGGATTGAGCAAAGCAAAAGTATCAAGGACTGACTCATGTAGCTGAAGTGAACAATCAGAGAGGAGCTGACTCAGTGGCAAAAGGGTGAATACAATGAATGCCTTTGATCTTCCCAAGTAATTGAAGGAAATTCTGGCTCATTTACAACTTAAATGTTGTGCAGGCAGTTGGAAAGCATAGAGATAGTGATGCAGTAGAACTGGGAGTTACCCATGTGAAAAAAATCACCACATGCCTATTAATAATTTTGCTGGAGAACAACACAAGTCAGGAAAGGGAGGGAGCCAAATACTGAACGTGGGATTGTGCCAGAGATGACCAAGCTGGAAGGTATCCAATTGCTGTAGATCTGATGACTGTGTTACCAAAGATTGGAAAAAAAAGCAATGCAAATGTTTTCCTACTTCACATCAGCTCTGAAGAACAGTCATTTAGACTCAAAACACTACCTTACTCTTTCTCCATGGATACTACCTGACCTGCTGTGATTTTCATTTTTTATTTTCAGTGTATTCCTCCATAGATGGACCATGATCAAACAAAAAATAACTTAAAGCACAGAAGAAAGCCATTTGACTCATCATACCAATGCAATGACACGGTTATCTAATTTAATCCCAAACCCAGTATTTTAAAACTACCCATGACATTATGAATAGGCTCTCTCCAATTACCTTTCAAAGTTCTCAATCTTTGGTCACATAATCCAGATTTTAGACCACTTTATGTAAATAAGTACTCATTTTTCCTCAATTCCTTGGGCATTTTTTCCAAATCTATGTTCTCAGATTACTGACCCACTCACCAGAGGAAATGGTTCCTCTCTGCCATTCTCACAAAAATCTCTCCTCATTCTCAAGACTTCTGATAAGAATCCCTTTAACAGGTTTCTACTATACAGGAGAACAAGAAAAAAGAAGGGGATGGTGACATTATTGGAGTTGTGCTATAGGAAGTTCCAGTTTCATGTTCTAGCCACCACCAAATCTGCTTCAGTCCACCCTTCTAACATTCCCCATCTTTATTCCCTACCTTGCTCTTGCTGCGGTTGCGATTCCAATCACCACATGCCTATTAATAATTTTGCTGGAGATTGGGGAGACTTGCAGGAGCAATAGGGTTGTCAGTGTAGGGGATTTTAATTTTCCTAACATAGCCCTTAACACTATGGCAGTCCCAGTCTGAGATGGGGTGAAATTGGTTAAGTGCGTTCAGGAAAGTTTCCTCAAGCAGTATATAGAGGGTCCTACTCAGGAAGGGGCAAAAACCCGACCTACTCTTGGGAAATAGGACAGGACAGGTGCCTGTGGTGACCAAGGAGAGAGCACTTTGGGACCGGTGACCATAGTTCTATTAATTTTAAAAGAGTTATGGACAGGGGCAAAACTGCCTCTCCCTCTTGTCCCTCTCCCTCTCCCTCTCGTCCCTCTCATGAAAGGGTCTTCTGAAGGAGGGTCTAGTCCTGAAACATCAGCCTTCCTGCTCCTCTGATGCTGCTTGGCCTGCTGTGTTCATCCAGCTCTACACCTTGTTATCTAAGGCTTCTAGGGAAGTTAGTGATGGTATCTTGGGCACAGTCCATATCACAGTAGATGTGGTGTTGGAAGTATTAGAAAGTACAAAGGTGGATAAATCTCCTGGTCCTGACCAGATATATCCAAGAAGCTAAAGAAGAAATTGCAGGGGCCCTGGCTGATATACTTGCATCATCATTAGCCACAGGTGAGGTCCCAGTAGAATGAAGGGTAGCGAATGTTGCACCCTTATTCAAGAAGCACTGCAAAGAAAAACCTGGGAACTATAGACCAGTAAGCTTAACATCTGTGGTAAGTAAGTTACTTGAGAAGATTCTGAGGAATAAGATATACATCTATTTGGAAAGACAGGGTTTGATTAGGAGTAGTCAGCATGGCTTCACATGTGGGAGATTTTTTGTTTTATTCATTCATGGGATGAGGGCATCACCGGCTAGGCAACATTTATTGCCCATCTAATTGCTCAAAGGGCAGTTAAGAGCCAACCACAGTGCTGTACATCTGGAGTCACAAGTAGGCCAGACCGGGTAAGATTTATTAGAAAGTTTATGAGGGCAGGGCAGTGCAGTAAATGTGGTCTATATAGATTTCAGTAAGGCCTTTGATAAGGTTCCCTTGGTAGGCTGCTCTGGCAGGTTGGATCACAGAATCCAGGGAGAGCTGGCAAATTGGAAATGCAATTGGCTTGATGGTAGGAAGCAGAGAGTAATAGTGGAAGGATGCTTGTCAGACTGGAGGCCTGTGACTAGTGGTGTGCCTTGGGGGTTGGTGCTGGGCCCATTGCTGTTTGTATCTATATCAATGCTTTGGATGAGAATGTACAAGGCATGATTAGTAAGTTTGCAGATGACACTAAAATGGGCGGTATCGTGCACAGTGAGGAAGGTTATCAGACATTGCAGCAGGAACTTGATCAGCTGGGGAAGTGGGCAGAGAAATGGCTAATGAAGTTTAATATAGATAAGTGTGAGGTATTGCATTTTGGAAAGTTAAATCAAGGTAAGAGCTTCATGGTGAATGGTAGGGCCTTAAGGAGTGTAGTGGAACAGAGGGACCTTGGAATGCAGGTGCACAGTTCTCTGAAAGTGGAGTCACAGGTAGATAGGGCAGTGAAGGCTTTTGGCACACTGGCCTTCATCAGTCAGGATATAGAGTATAGAAGTTGGGAAGTTATGTTGCAGCTATACAGGATGTTGGTCAGGCCACTCTTGGAGTATTGTGTTCAGTTTTGGTCACCTTGGTAGAGGAAGGATGTTATTAGACCGGAAAGAGTGCAGAAGAAATTTACAAGGATGTTGCCAGGACTCAAGGGACTGAGTTATAGGGAGAGGTTGGACAAGCTAGGGCATTTTTTCTTTAGAGCATAGGAGACTGAGGTTGGGCGGGGGGGGGGGGGGGGCGGAATCTTGTAGAAGTGTATAAGATCATGAGAGGCATGGATAGGGTGAATGCACTCAGTCTTTTCCACCCAAGGTTGGGGAATCGAGGACTAGAGGGCATCAGTTTAAGGTAAAAAGGGGAAAGAATAAAATTGGTCCACGAGGGGCAACTTTTTTTGACACAGAGGGTGGTACGCATATATGCGCATGGAATGAGCTGGCAGTGGAAATGGTTGAAGTGGGTACATTAGCAACATTTAAAAGGCATTTGGACGAATGCATAGATAGGAAAGGTTTAGAAGGATATAGGCCAAGGGAAAGGAAATGGAGTTAGCAGGGATGGACATTTTGGTCAGCATGAACCATGTCTCCATGCTGAACAACTCATTCCAATTTATCCAGCCACTCCACTTAAATTCACCTATCCTTGATATCATCCAGGTAATTCTCCTCTATATCATTCCAAGGCTTTAACAGTCTTCCTAAAATATAATACCCAGAACTGTACACAATCCTCAAGATGGGTTCAAACCAGACTTCTGTTTAGCATGACTTTCTTGACTTAGTACGTAATGCTTCTATTTACAAAGCCAAGTATCTCATGCATTTTTGTAAAAAAAAAGCCAACTGAACAAATTTTCCTGCTACTTTCAAACGTTCATGAATCTGCAACCATATGTATTCTGCTTTTCACCACTGTTAAAATAGTTTCCATCAGAATATATCATATGGTTTTTTTCCCCACGATGTATTATTTCACTACTAACCACATTGAATTGCACTTGACGTATGTCCACTCATTTCACCAGGATTGATGTTCTCCAGAAGTATCCCCTTCATTCTTTTTAATCTGCACAGCCATGTTTTTAATCCTTTCCAAATTCTAAAATTGTTTTCCCCATACCCAAGTCCAGGTTATTAATATGAGAATATCAATGATTCTCTTAAAGGCTCACCGGAACTGCACATCATACTGCTTTGTAGTCAGAGAAAACATCTATTCACCATACACCTTACCTCCTACCCCTTAGCCAATGATATAGCAACACTATCTTACATTTAGCACCATGTGCTTCTATTTGGCAACCATATCAAATAATTTTGGAAAGTTCAAAAGGTGACTATGAGGAATAATGTGTTGTAAATGGTATAGAATTGTTAACAAAGTCGTCTCTATGCATGGAGTGAAATGGAACAGCAAGGAAATTTGAGGATTGAAGCTCACAAAAAAATATTAAAAGCAGCACATTAAATACAAGGAATAAAAGAGTTAACGGAAAACTGGATTTCATGACAACACATGGAATATAAACTTCAATATGTTACAGTGTATTGAAAAAAAACTTGTATCAGATTACAGCTGGGCTACTGTGTAATTATTGGATTCCACAGAGGAGGAGAAGGAAGAGAAGTAGGAGATAAAAGACCACACACAAAAGGCCACCTTTGCAATAATATATACCAAATTCAAATCATGTAAATATTTTAAATCTGGCTTCTAGCTACTCTGGATTGAGACACACTCTTGTGAGACAAATGGGGGGACAGTTCCATGTATATGTTACAATAGATTGTATGTTTTAAAAAAATGATGCAATGTAGTCAAAGCAAATTCTTTTAAAAATGGCTTTTGAGGGTTGATATTTTGTCAAATTGTCACAAGTTATTGGTAGAGTTAGCTAATAAATTAGCCATATCAGGTGGACCCCAGGAAGAAACAGAAAAATCTCTGCTATTAGACCAGTCCTAACAGCTGTTTACAAAATCTCTAAATAATGTCCCATCAATCCTCTTGATTCTGAGAAACCTGTTGATGAAGTATTTCAGTCACCTGTCTTTGGAGATATTAAAGTCACCTGTCTTTTCTTTATTAGTCCCTACTGAACAGTAATCTAGATATGCAGACTTCATATTTTGTTCACAAAGTGGAAGCAAATAATCCCATTTTACCCTGCTGAGGCCATATCATTATGAAACTACAGTATGCCTAATTTAGAACGTGATCATCAAAATAACTCCAGAGTTCCTTCTGGTCTTCTAATAACACAGATGTCTGTAGTTAAGAAGACACAACTTTATTGCTAAGTCACAATCCAACAAACTACTGCGTGGATCTTCACTCTACTCTTGCACACAGCTATGCTTCAGTGCCAATTTACTGAGAAAACCCAAGCAAAAACCAAGTTGTTCGGTATGTTTGGCTAACCGTGGAGATGATCCAAAAGCATTGCGACATGAAAAGTTATTTTCTGGGAAGCTCCAGATTGGAAAAATCAGGTTTTAATGAAGTAAAAGAAAAATCATCAAAACACGATATTTCCAAACAGATGCAAGACCTTTACCAATTTAGAAACACAGCAGCTGTGAAAAGAAAGCAGTTTTCTCAGCTATTTCTTTGCATTAATGAATGGATTTCAGATACAGTGCTCAGCTAGAAAACATAGAAGATATTGCAGATAACACAAACCTTGGATGCATCCCTTGAGGATGGAAGTAGGTGATTCCAGAAAGGTGCTGCTTTGGCATCAGTACTTCTGCAAGAAACTGGGATAGAATTAATTAGTTGAATCCTACATTTCTTTGCAACAGGAGGGCTTTCATCCCCTGAGCACATCTCTTTCCCGGATGCATTTGTTGGCGATAGCAGCTTTCGTTTTACTGTACATCTGGCAGACGCAGTACTTGATTGTCCACAGGATAATGGTGTTTTCTCAGAGGATAGCAGTCCAGTGCTGGTAATATTGTGAATCTCTTTGTCAGATGATGGTGTTGTTGGTACTAATTTATCGCCAGGTGAACCTATCTCCCCATCTTCTATTGGGGTACTGTACTCAGAGCCTGTGTGTTCAATAACATGCAAACCACTGTGATAAAAGTGTTGTGCAGAACCATGCATAACTGGGTCTCCATCCTGGAAACTATTGTCCTGTTGATTTATATAGTCACCTGTCTTTTCTAATGCCTTTTCAGAAAGATTGCCATTATCAGTTCCACAATTAGATGCATTTAGACTTTCAGTTAATGTGACAGAATTTTTGCAGTGCACGTGGATTCTTTTCTGATTGAGTTCAAGTTCTGGATGTTGCTCAGTTGAACTTCTTTTAATACCCTGTTTGCAATGTCTCTGATCCAAAGTATTTGAAGAGTTAGATAGGTGAGAAAATATTGAAAGTTGATACACTTTTTGAAATCTAACCTCACTTTCACTGTATTCTGCCAAAACTCCTCGTTCAGAGATGACATCACTAGAGTCCAAGCGATAGTCATTTGTTGGTGTACCTTGAAAGCTGCCATCTGCATGGCCTGCAGCATGCCGAGGTACATCCTTAGATTGCTCTTTCTGAGAAGTTTCCAGATGCATGTGCCTCATGGACTGCTGTGTTTTACACGACAGAAATGTAGAAATCCAAGGGCAGAAGCTTTATTTGTGTTTTGTTGTGATGAGAAGACTGCTTCATGAAGTTAAACCAAAGATGCTTTTCTGGACACTCCTGTGGCGCAGCATCTAAGGAAGGAAGAAAGAAAATTATTTATTATAATAGGTAATTTCTTTTAATCAGTTACTATCTATTTATAATTAACACAATGAATTAAAACATTGCATTAAAATTGTAAAGCAATTGGAGCAAAGATTTTTTAAGAATTGTTTGACATCAACAAACCTGATGTCTTTCAAACTGCAAGATTTCCAACTCATTTAAAATATTTAGTCTGCCAAACTCTTCATTTAAAAATAAAACATTTCTACATTCTCTTCTTACGTTCCACTTGTTCAGTGGTCTCTCCAAGCCTTCAGATCCACAAAAGTAAATAGACTGGAAATGCTCAGAACCACCAACTTTTGAAAAGGATAGTGTGTTTCCAACAGACTACAATGAATACACACACTTGTAGTCTGAAGAGACAACAGGGACCAGTGTGGAGTCCACTTTCATCATGATGTGTACATAACCAAAAACTGCTTGCATTTATAGAGCTCCTTTAATATCCCAAAATATCCCAAGGTGGTTCACAAGGTGATAATCAGACCAAAATTAACAAGAACATGAAAACAACATTTCATTTTAGCCAGATACAGGTGTTTCAAGGAGAGTCTTAATAGGAGGAGAGGTGGAAGATTAGGAAGGAACCTCTAGAACTTAGCATTTAGTTGGTTGAAGGCATTGCTGTCAAAATTAGAAAAGAAGAGGTTAAAGGATGAGTAAGAGACAAGAGATGGAGAAATGCAGAGTTCTTGGGAGGATTGTGTGGCTAATTGCAAAACACATCTGACATACACGTGTCTAGTGCCAGATCAGGCAAAGGTTATTAACTTAAAGACCCCAATCACACAATTAACCCCCCAATCAGTTGAGGCACTGGCCTTCTGAATGACCTACAATGGTTTGAGGAAGGACTGAGTCATGATTTACAGGCCTATAATTGTAGGCTTTCTGGACAATGCACCTGCCTACTAATCAACACCCATGTCTAAAATACTGCAGGCTCACTTGGTTAAGATTATTTAAACTGCTTCATCCATATTATCAGTTCGAGTCTTCTAGAATATGGCTGCATCATATGCTATTACACAAAAAAAACAGACAAACCCTCTGAAGTATATTTTCCATGCAAGAGAAAACAAGTCAATAAAAATTAGCAACTGTCAACTATTACTTCCTGAATTTCATTGATATACAGCTCACTTCAAATATACACAGTATAATTTGTCATGCACAGATAAACTTTCAATAAATATTGAAAGCTTCAACTTTTTACAATCAACGTAAATGACTTGGAATAAGAAACTAACTAAATGGTTCATAACAGAGATAGGTAGGAAAGTAAATTGTGAGGATGACATAATAGTTTACAAAGGGAGTATATAAAGTCTGTGACACGTCAAGTGAGTGCGCAAAACATTGATAGATGGAGTATAATTTGGGAAAGCATGAATCCGCACACACTAGCAAGAAGAATAGAAAAACTGTACATCATTTAAATAAGGAAAGTTTGTAAAACAATGTGGTAGAAAGAACCTTGGATCTTCTGGTACAAGGATCACAGGAAGTTAGGATTTGGGTACAGCAAGCCATTAGGATGCAAATTTGTTTATTGCAAGGGGAATAAAATATTAAAGGAGAGATATTCATCAATAGTCATAAACAGCATTGGTGAAGCTATATCTGAAGTATTGCAGAGTTTTGGTTTCCTTGTTTGAAGAAAAAATAATAGCATTAAAAACTGTTCAGTCAAAAGGTTCACTGAACGGATTCCTGGGCTGAAGGGGCTATCTTTGGAGGAAAAGTTGGACCTGCATCCATTGCAGTTAAGAAGAATAAGCGGTGATCTTATAGAAACACAAGATCCTGTGGAGATTTGACAGGATGGTATTGAGGGGATATTTCAACTTCTGGGAGGGACTACGGAAAATGGTTTAAAAAAAGATTTCCCTTTTACAATGGGGTTTACGTGATATTTTTCCTCTCAGTAGGCTCGTCTTTTAAATTCTCTTCAGAGAACAGTGAAGGGAGGATCTTTGAATATTTTAAATACTAAGTTGTACAGATTCTTGATTGACAAAAGGAATCAAAGAGTATGGGCGAAACAAGAAAATGGAGGTGAGGCCACAATTAGATCAGCCATGAACTTACTGATGCTAGCCCACACTTAAGGGGCCAAATGGCCTACTTCTACTCTTAGTTGATATGCACATACCTATTTTAAACTTTGATAGCACAGTAAAATGGTCTTTCATCACAACAATAGGCAAATCTTGGGAGATAATTATATTGTCTACTTAGATCATATTCTGATCTTATTTTAAAATTAGTGTGTGACAAGTAGCCTCTCATTGTATGTCTGGTTTTCAATTTAACTTTTTTTTCAGCATTGTATATTTCCCCTTATTTCAAAAGTAGAAATAAATTTATTTGCCATCTTCATTAATATCATGTCAAATCTCATGAATCAAAATTCCTTTTGCATGCATTTGTTTCAGTTATTAACAGCTTTGGGTTCCTGATACACTGGATTGTGTTCTGACAAACTTACGCTGAAACATCAGTTTCTATAATAAGAAAGTAAGTATTCTAAAATTTTAAACAGTATTATTACTTCAAAACTTCTATTAGTCCACAGATTAAAATTTAGTAAAAAACTCAGCCATTTGACCCAAACCCAACTATTGCATTCCACAAACATTCAAGTGGTTCTACCAAGGGATGTGTGCTCTGGAGAACATGTTTTGATAGTCAAAACATAACGTCATAAACTTCAGGTACTTATTCAGGTTTTTGGGGAGAATTTTGCTGTATTGCATGAATTCTATGTTTTTCTGCCATTCAACTCACCTTGAGAACCAGATAATCTATTAATCATCGATTCCATTTTAGACTGACCATTATCTACTCATTCTCTCCCATGCTTTTATTAAATTTACTTAAATAAATCATTGTGGGCAAAAACAGAAATAGTTATTTTGCACCCCAGCCCACTCCAGCTGAGCCAACTCCACCATTCAATTAGATTGAACTGTTAATTAAACTGCAGAGACAGATCATAAGTGGTTAAATCATTCCAAAATAGTCTGTTTTGGGAACATGATGATTTTCAATGTCAAAAATAAAATCAACATGTAATTTTGAACAAACCACATCTCCAATATAGGTTAGAACAATCATGGGGAAAGAGGATTGTGGGGAAAAAAAAAATCAGCAACACTTATTCACGACTGGAACATAGGGGTCACTGGCTGGCTCGCTTTTATTGTCCATCCATAGTTGCCCTTGAGAAGGTGGTAGTGATATACACTCTTGAACCACTGGAGTACATGTGCTATAGATTGTGAGACAATGCCCTTAGGGAGGGAATTCCAAGATTTTGAGCCAACAACACTGAAAGAATGGTGATATATTTCCAAGTCAGGATGGTGAGTGGCTTGCAGGGGAACTTGCAGGTGAAGATGTTTGCACACACCTGCTGCCCTTTTCCTTCTAGATAGAAATGGTCATGGGTTTGGAAGTGTTGTTTAAGGATCTTTGGTGAATTTCTGTAGATAGTACACATTGTGGCTACTGAGCGTTCGTCGTGGATGGAATGGATGCTTGGTGACGTGGTGTCAATCAGGTGGGCTGCTTTGTCTCAGATGATGTCAAGCTTCTTCAGTGTTGTTGGAGCTGCACTCCTGGCAAGTGGAGACTCCTGATTTGCACCTTGTAGAAGATGGACAGGCTTTGGGGAGTCAGGAGGTGAGTTACTCAGCACAGTATTCCTAGACTCTGACCTGCTCTTGTAGTCACTGTGTTTATGTGGCGAGTCCTGTTGAGTTTCTGGTCAATGGTAAACCTAAGCATGTTGAAATTGCTGTCACCATCACTGAATCCCCACTGAGTGTCAAGGTGCTTAGATTGTCTTTTATTGGAGATGGTTATTGCCTGATTTTTGTATGGTGTGAATGTTACTTGCACTTAAAGAATCAAAGTCATACAGCACAGAAACACACCTTTCGGTCCAACTCACCTGCGCCGACCAGATATCCCAATCTGGCCTAGACACATTTGCCAGCATTTGGCCTATATCCCTCTAAACCCTTCCTATAAATGTACCCATCCAGATGCTTTTTAAATGTTGTAATTGTACCAGTCTCCACCACTTCCTCTGGCAGCTTGTTCCAGACACGCACTGGCCTCTGCGTGAAAAAGTTATCCTTCAGCTCCTTTTTAAATTTTTCCCCTCTTGTCTTAAACCTATGCCCCCTATTTTTGGACTCCCCTCTCAGTGGAAAAAGATTTGGCAATTTACCTTATCCATGCCCCTCATGATTTTATAAACGTCACCCCTTAGTCTCTGATGCTCCAGGGAAGAAGCCCCAGCCTGTACAGCCTGTCCCTATAGCCGAAACCCTCCAGTCCCAGTCTGGATATTTCCAGATTTTGTTTGCATCTTCTCAGATACTGAAGCAGACGAGTAATGAATGATGCTGAATGTTGTGCAATCATCGGCGAACATCCCCACTTCTGACCTTATGATGGAGGGAAAGTCATTCATGAAGCAGCTGAAGATGGTTTGGCCGAAGACACTACCCTCAGGAACTCCTGCAGAGATGTCCTGGAGCTGCGACTGCTGACCTCCAACAACCACAACCATCTTACGTGCCAGGTATGACTGCAACAAGCAGTCTGCAACCCTCCCCCCTCTCCACCACTACCACTTTCCTTGTGATCCCTGATGCCACACTTGGTCCATCGCATTCTTGATGTCACTCTTACCTCATCTTTTGAATTCACCTCTTTTGTCCATGTTTGAAATAAGGCTGTGATGAGGTCAGGAGCTGAGTGGCCCTGGCAGAACCCAAACCCAGCACTGAGCAGGTGCTGCTTCATAGCACAATTGACGACACTTTCCATCATTTTACTGATCATCTTGAATATACTGATGGGGTAGTAATGGGCTGAGTTGGAATTGTCCTACTTTTTGTGCACAGGACATACCTGGGCAATTTTCCATATTGTTGGGTCAATGCTG